TTAAAACCACACAGATTGCTGCTCTGAGATTCAGAATAAACCCTCCTTGGATTGTTGAAAGCCTTTGTTAAACTCTACAATTCTCAAAAAATTTATCTTGACCCTTTTCGTCCGTGTTCTGATGGCTTTAGGAGTGGGCTTTGCAGATTATTACTCCACTGTTCCAGAGGTGCTTTGAGTTGATGTCTCAAAACAGCAAATACGCTGCGCTTCCCAAGCTCTTGGCCATCATCTTGGGTTTCTACCCGCTTTTGTCTCCTTGCTTCTTGACCAAGGAGAAGGGTCTTGCTCTTTGACAAAGAAGCTTATCAGTCACATAGTTTGCTCGGTAGCACATGCCTTTTGTAGCAGCTGGTATTATTTACTCCAATAGCACTTGCAGGAGCCTCCCCTTCTTAACTACAACATGAAATGCGATAAGTGGGTAGGTAGGTAGGTAGACTCTTTCTTTTCTAATTACAGTATAATGATCATATTATTATTATTTAATATTTTTAAGGCGAATATAAATGAATCACATTTACAAGTTGATTCACTTTCATTATTGGCCTCCTTTGTCTTTGAGATGATGTTTTTTAATTTTATGAGATAGCCCCCCTCCCCCTGCTTTTACTATTCTGCTGTAGGAAAAATAGTTGGGTTCAGCTATGAAATACAATAAATATCATCAAAATAATACTAGAATGACAGTTTATTTGTCTGCAAGCTCTGGGAAATAAGGAGTACCTCTGTGAATTTCCTGGTAATGAATGAAAAAGTGCTTGATTTTTTTTTTTAACCAGTTTTCAAAATAATGGATTGGTTCCCATGGCATCATCCAAAAAGTGAAAAATAAATTTTTGGTTATTATAAACAAATGTATTGATACATACTGGTTGTGTTTAAACCCATAATAATTATGATCCATATTGGTGATCAAATACACAAATAATCCCATCTTGCCCTAACCGGTTTGGCTCAGTGGATAAAGCGTCGGCCTGCAGACTGAAGGGTCCCGGGTTCGATTCCAGTCAAGGGCACGTGCCTGGGTTGTGGGCTTGATCCCCAGTGGGGGGCATGCAGGAGGCAGCTGATCAATGATTCTCTCTCATCATTGATGTTTCTATCTCTCTCTCCCTCTCCCTTCCTCTCTGAAATCAATAAAAAATAAAAAAGACATAGGGTGGCTGAATGGATAACAAAACAAGACCCTTACATATGCTGTCTACAAGAAACCCACTTCAGATCTAAAGACACACAGAGACTGAAAGTAAAGGGATGGAAAACATATTTTATGCAAATATAGACATAAAAAAAGATGGGGTAGCAATACTTTTATATCGGACAAAATAGGCTTTAAAACAGACTAAAAAGAACAACATTTAATATACAATAATCAAGATATGGAAGCAACCTAAGTGTCTATCAATAGATGAAAGAATAAAGAAGCAGTGGAATATATATACAATGGAATATTACAAGGCCATAGGAAAGAATGAAATAGGTCAGACAGAGAAAGAAATATACCATGTGATTTCACTTATAACTGGAATCTAAAAAACAAAATAAAACAAACAAACTCATAGACACAAAGACCATTTTGACAGTTGCCAAATAGGGGGACTTTGGGGGACTGAGTGAAAAAGGTGAAGGGATTAAGTACAAGTTGGCAGTTACAAAATAGTCATGGGGTGTAAAGTACAGCAGAAGGAATAGAGTCCGTAATATTGTAATGACTATATATGGTGCCAGGTGAGCACCAGACTTACCTGGGGGAATCACTTTTTAAAGTGTATCATTGTCTAACCACGCTATTCTACACCTAAAACGAATGTAATATTGTGTGTTACCTGATACTGAAAAATAAAAAATGAAATAAAAGAATGATGAAGATGGTAAATTTTGTTATGTGTATTTTGCCACAATAAAAATATTGGGAAAAATGCTTTGATCCTATCACATTTCACACCTCTTTTTCCAGACTTTGGAGCTCATGCAGCATATGAAGCATGTTCATCATGGGGCCTCATGACCAAACACAAATCAGACCTGCTTCTGTCAGGGAAACATCTGAATTCATTATCATTTCAAATCAGTATATTGTAGCCCGGCCGGCATGGTTCAGTGGTTGAGCATCAACCTGTGAACCAGAGGTCACCGTCCGACCCCTGGTCAGGGCACATGCGTGGCTTACGGCTTACAGGCTCAATCCCCAGTGGGGGGCATGGAGGAAGCCGCTGATCAGTGATTCTCTCTCATCATTAATGTTTCTATCTCTCTCTCCCTCTCTCTTATTCTCTGAAATAAGTAAATAATATTTTTTATAAAATCACTATATGGTATAGCTGAAACTAATGTAGCCAATATAAGTTTGTATACCAACTATACCTAAATTAAAAAAAATTAAACCTTAACATGTTAAAACATATTTTGAGGAAAATTATTAAAAGAACTGAGAAACAAATTGAGGTGCATCTTAGATCAAGTGCCAAATGCAGTTAGACTGAAACATTGCAGAATAAGTTATTTAATGGCTGCTGTTTCTCATTACTTAAATTGCAGGATGGGGCACAAATCTAGGAGGCGTGAGAGGAATGAGGGCGGGCCTGAGTCCCTAAGCGAAAATGAGCATGTTGTGCCCAGTTTGGGGGAATATTTAACTAAGATTTATTTATAGAAGTCAGAAATACTCTTACTAGTCTTATTAGACATGATTAAAGTCATTTTATATATTTAGTGAAAAAAAAAATGAGAAGAATGGTGAAGATGGTGTATACTGATCAAAAACTAATTGCTCAGGAAATTAGCATCCTATATAATAAAGAGCTAATATGTAATTAGATCAGACGGTGGAACCTTAACATGTGCAGGTCTGTATGGTTGGAGTGGATATGCTATTGACATCATGTCCAGAGGATATGGTGACTTCCAGAACGACCTTCCGGAACGACCAATGGGCGGAGGGTGGGGCCGTGAGGCAGCCGGGGTTGCGAGGGCCAAGCCCCTTGCACGAATTTTGTGCATCGGACCTCTAGTATATTAGATATATGAGATGGGAAAGGATGGTTGATATTGAAGTAAGCATATGTGATGTGATTGACTAACCAAATCTGAAAAAATCACATTAAACCTATGTGGCAGGCTTGATCTCTTCTGTCTTAAAAAGTTTTATAGCCCATGTGTGGGCCTGCCAATGGTGTATTCTTAGAATACTAGTAAATATTGAGAAGAAAATTATTGCTTATCTGTAAGTAATGGGGGGGCTTTAGGTTTGCTCTGCTCTGGGCACCGGCCCCAGCCCTCCCCTGGCCCCTTCCAGGCCCTGCTGAGTTCAGAGCCTTTCTTCCCTAACTCAGCCATTGAAGACAGCTTTTCCCAAACCAGTGCTTTGGGTTGTCCCACAGCTGTGTGCCTTGAAGTTTTCTTATTCCTGGGGCAGTGCAGGATGGGTGAGGATTTGTTTTCCTTTGCTTTTTAAAGGGAAATGCCTCGGGAGACGGTTCTCCAGAGATCTGTGGAAGTTGACGTCTGGAGACTAATTCCCTTAAAACCAGTGGTTTTATGTGTGCGGTCCCAGCAGCATCTGTTTCTCCTGGGAACGTGTAAAAATGCAAATTCTAGAGCTGCCAATTCGAGAGCTTGGGCATCTCGGTGGCCGATGCCTGCCCAGATTTGAGAAACGTGCAGACCTGTATGGTTGGAGTGGGTTTGCTCTTGACATCATGTCCAGAGGATATGGCGACTGGCTTTTGTGTAAACATTAGGCATTTCATTTTTGTGTATTTTGGAACCAGTATAGTCCGTGTGCAGTTTTATTGAAGAGCACAGAATCTGTCCTGCCTGATGCAGGAAGGTCCCTGTTGCCAAGTGAGGAACAACAGCCAGAACCCTCACTCCAAACAAACAGGCGGTGTCTTTGGGTCCCTGGACAGTTCACCCGGTGGGAGGTGACCTGGGGTCCTCTCGAGGCAGGTGGCCCAGAGCTCTGCAGGCAACTCTGTGGGTATCTGAGCCAGGCCAGGGCTCCCAGAGCAGGAAGAGTGTTTTTTTAATCTTTACCTGAGGATATGTTTTTTATTGATGTTTTTTATTGATTTTTCAGGGAGAGAGAGAGAAAGAGAGAGAGAGAGAGAGAGAGAGAGAAGAGGAACATCGATGACAGAGAGAAATATCGATCAGTTGTCTCCCTATGTGCCCCAACTGGGGTTTGAGCCCACAACCCAGGTATGTGCCCTGACTTGGATTCAAACCCACAACCTTTTGGTGTAGGGGTTGATACTCCAACCAATTGAGCCATCTGGCCAGGGCAGGGCCTTTTTTTTTTTTTTGAAGAGAGACCTGCTCAGTCTCTGTGGCCAGTTTCAGAGCCTATGCTCTCTGTCTCCTCGAGATTTGTGAATCGTCGTTTTTACCAGGCCCCCCACCTGTCTCCCTCCTTCCCTCCCCCTCTCTTTCTTTCTTTCTTTCTTTCTTTCTTTCTTTCTTTCTTTCTTTCTTTCTTTCTTTCTTTCTTTCTTTCTTTCTTTCTTCTTCTTTTCTATTTTGCTTCCACTTCTGATCCTTTTGAAGTACAGCTACTTGTTTTTGTTTTTTAAATGCAAATTATATTAAATCCTTGCTTAAAATTAAAATTGTTCCAGGGCTTCCTGTGCCTGTAGGGAAAAGTCCAGAAGTGTCAGCTGCACTTGCCTCCCCTGCCTCCGAGTGTCTGAGCTGCTCAGGGCCGTGCTGGTGTGGTCCCGGGCCTCAGATCCTGTGAGGAATGAAATAGGCGTTTTATTCCATCGGCTGTGCTTATAGTTAATTTTGATACTGCTTTCCCCGTACAGCCTGAGCGTGGCGCCTGTCCTGCTCTCAGGACTTGTTGAGTCAGCTGCTCCCTTGTGGGCTCATGTAAGCTCTCTGAGGACAGGGGCCCTGATTGCCACTGTGTCCCAGGCCTTGTAGAAGCTCAGTAAACACTTATTAATCTTTGGTGCCCTTTCCCTGTTGTTCATTTACGCCCGTATCTTGCATTGTAGTTTGGGGCTGAGTTCCGAAGGTTCTCCTTAGACCGCCAAAAGCCTGGGAAGTTTGAGGATTTCTACCAGCTGGTTGTGCACACCCACCACATCGCCAACACCGAAGTGACCATCGGCTACGCAGACGTGCACGGCGACCTGCTGCCCATCAACAACGATGACAACTTCTGCAAGGCGGTCTCGAGCGCAAATCCCCTGCTCAGGGTCTTCATCCAGAAACGAGGTACTGCTTCCCTGGCTCAGCACTCATGTCAGAGATGAGTACAGTCCTCAGTTTTGTCTGCCATGACAGAGCCTGAGATTTTGTTTTCTCGCCAGTGGTAAGAGACGAAAGGAATTAACATTTGTTTGGTCAACATTACTTTATTAGAAAGGCTTAAAAATATCTAAACGGTATTTTCCACTGTAGTGTTGACTTCTGATTTTTAAATACTGAGGAAAAAAGTAATATTGATACTTTCAGTATTTTAACTGGAAGCAAGTTAATTCAGTAACGAAAAGGCCTTAGTCAGTAACCCAAGAATGAAATTTAAGGTTGCCAGTATGTTTTCCACTGTGTTTTTGGGGTTGGAAAAAGATGTTAGTTTTAAATTGTTACTTTGGTTAACTTGAGCTCTGAAGACCTAGTTTTGCTGTGACAACATCAGAGCCACATTTTTTATTTGTTTTCTCTTCGCTAAGTTTGGGAGAGCGTTAACATTTCAAAATTATATACCTTTGAACAACATGGGGGTTAGGGGTGCCAACCACCTTGCACTCAAAAATCCACGTATAACTTTTGACTCCATAGAGTGCTGCTGTCCCTGGGCACTTACAGGGGATCCATTCCAGGACCCCCTGCTGGTACCAGAATCCGGGGATGCTCAAGTCCCCTCTATAGGACAGCCTAGATCAGTGAATACGGTCAGCCCTCTGCATCCTCGAACTCCTAGCCACAGATCAGAAACAGGGCAGGTGTTTATTGAAGGCCGTCCATGTGTAAGTGGACGCACACAGGTTGTTCAAGGGTCAACCGTACTGACGGAAAGAACCCCCTGAGGTGACACTTGATTTTCGGGAAATGGGAAAACGGCGTTTTATGGTTGACTTGGTCATGACTGTCCCCCTTCTCCGAGGACACCTTCTGTCACATGTGAGCACTGGGTGCCCTTAAAGAACAGAGGCCTCGGGAAGACCTGCAGCCCATGTGCGTGCTACTGTGACTTTGATCTTAGCAGGAGGGGACGGGTCCTGGTCTCTGGATGGGGGCAGAGCCTAAGCACCCACTAAAGTAGCAGCCACAGCCACGAGTGCAGGGGAGGCCCTCGGGGACACGGGGCCCGGGGCTCGCTGCGGCAGGTGCTGCTCTCCCGCGCAGTTGTCCTGAGGTGAGCGGCAGCATGTGCACAGCTCAGAGCACACTGGCCGGTGGTCAGTGCTCCGGGAATGAGCTGTCACATCCTGTTTGTAGTGACGGAGGGAATGCATGTGGAGAGGGAGCACCAGGAGACCGCTGACCTCACTCTGGACTTTTTTCTGGCACAAGATCAGAAAGCTCCACCTCTGCGTTCCAGACATCAACACAGCTGTCACTTCCTCAGGTGGCCTGGGGGAGTGGCTGAGGCGTAGGACCCTCTTCTGCCTCTGCAGGCCCTGGCTTTGCTGTGGCTGCTGCATCCCCCCTGCCCCTGCGGCCCCCACCGCACATCACGTGGGCAGGTGTTCGTGGGCAGGTGTTCGCGCGCCCCTCTCCCAAACGCTCTACCTAAGGCGCCCGCCTGCCCGTCGGCTCTCTCTGCTGTGGTTGCTCGCTGCTCTCAGGGCTGGCTTGTCCCACAGGTCGTGCTGTCGGCTCACTGGTGTGGGAGGTGAGCAGTGGGTGTGAGGCGCCACGTGGACTGCAGGGGACGCGGGCTTTGTCATCTGTGGGAAGGGAACGAGTCTCTGTACCGCTGCGTGTGGGCTGGGCGTGGAGCAGGACAGAGGCACTGTCTGCCCTTTACGAGGCCAGTCCTCATGACACCTGGCACCCCCGCTCTTGATTCCCCGACGCTGAGACACGGGAAGCTCTGGGTCTGTGTGTGCAGCTGGGGCTGCATTAACTTCCAGGCTTTTCCTCGCCGCAGGGCCGAGGTCTTGCATCCTGTCTTCATTATTTACTTTTCCTCCTTCCTGTGGCAGCAGAGAAATAGCCCAGAGATGAACGAGCTGGCTTACGGTTCCGATCCCTCTTGTTCTCAGCGTGAGCCTGTCACCTGCAGCCCCTGCCCCTTTCTCTGTCATGTGGCAGCAGGAGCTCGGAGCACCTGAGACTGCCCCTCCGGCACCTGCTCCCTGGCTGTGACCAGCGAGCCCCCCTGTCCTCAGCTGAGGCACCCACCTCAGGGTGTTATCCGGCTGACACAGGAAGATGTCCCCGTGTTCACAGCCGTCAGTGTCCCTGCACAGGATCGGCAGGGCCCGCCAATAGAAATCACAGACGTGTTCATATTGTGTTAGTTGTAGCCAGATATCTTGAATATCATTGATAGTTAGTCATTATTTAAAACAATGGTACAGATTGTTATTTAATGTGTTAGTGAGAAATCACATACAGTCAGCCCTCCATGTCTGTGGGTTCCACATCCATGGGTTCAACCAACTACAGATCGGAAATATCTGGGGGGAAATGTTTTATTTTTTTGCTGATGTGCTACACAGTGAGGCCTCCTACAATGGTTGTATCTATACTAAACACGTGCAGACTTTCCCTTGTCATTCCCTAAACAATACAGCATTATATAGCATTTAAATTATTTATATAGCATTTAAATTGTGTTAGGTATTATAAGTAATCTAGAAGTGATTTAAAGTGTATGGGAGGATGTCCGTAGGATATATGCAAACACTAAACCATTTTATATAAGGGACTTGAGTATCCATGGATTTTTATATCGAGGGCGGGGGAATCCTGGACAATTCCCTTATGGATATTGTGTACATAATTGCTTTAATATTTTGATAGTTGTCTTCAAAGTGATCATTTCCTCTGTAATCCCATGTATTTTACTTTATGCCTTTAAAAATGCTACCCCAAGAAGGCATTCCCAAGCACTATGAGATGGCTGAGGGTTCTGGGCACTGGGGTAAGGACACTATTGCAGTCAGCATTTGGGAGCTCAGACAACAGGCCCGGAACCAGTCAGGGGACTTTTCCTGCGGACGCTGGGTGGTGTTTTTGCCCGAGGGGCAGAGGACCACCCCTTTGGCTTCACTTCTACAGGCTCTTCTGCATTTACTAGACTTCTGAGCCCTCTGACCAGGCTGGGCTACTGTTAAAAGCTGTGGGGTTTTCCCTGGGTTAAATAACAGATGTTATTATGCCTTTCACTTTCATGCTTTGCCCATTTTAGTAAGAGAATAAAGTAGTCAGAGGCAGAATCGGGAGTCCTGTTTGCATATTTGGGCGACAGACCCAGCCAGTGTTAGGGAAGCTCGTCTCTCTGTGCCCTGCGGACGCCTGTCCTTCCCGAGGAAGCTGGCCCGGCCAGAGAGAACGCAGGACAAGACCAGCAGAGATGCTTGGAGTGTCTCTTTCTAATTTTAGCCGAATAAACAGGAAGTGCAAATACCCATCGAATAATTACTTCAACTACCCTGTGCCTGTACTCTTGTTATTTAAGAGATGGGCCTCTTTACCTCTCGGGCCCCAGCCCAGGAGTAGAGGTGGAATCCTAATTGAATTTCATTTGCTCTCTGTCCCTGGGGTACCACTGCCCGGGCATCAAGAGGAGGTTGATGAAGTCTTCATTATACTACAAGGCTTTCGGAACAATTAGAGTGCTCTGAACTGTTTACTTTTAAACTAGCCTAAATATAGCACACTTGCTTGTATCTGTTAACTGTTCTCTGGCAATTCTTTGGGTTTCTCGAATGAGGAAGACACATTTATAAACTTTTTGATTTATCAGAAGTTGAATGATTGGGAGATGGGGCGAGGGTGTGTGTGTGTGTTTGCTTGTGATTCCACTTAAGCGAGTTGCCAGAAAAAGTAATTAAGGCGTGTTCTTCCAAGTAAAATGTATAGAATTATTGAGAGTTTGGTTTAGACATTGGCAGAATCTTGTCACCAGGCATATGAATCCTGATTATGATGGCTATTCTTGGATTCTGTATTCAAAGTAGCTGGAGATGTGTTTGGTTTTAAGTTGGAGGTTCACTGTGTAGCAGGAATTAAAGCTGCCACCACTGAATTTCTGTATCCCCACCCTGTTTCATTCTTCCTCAGACCAAGGCTCTTTGAGTTGTGAGTAAAGGTATAGGTTTGCTCATGTCCCTACACCCTGGAATCTGGAGCTTTTTCATGAGACACGTCTGCTTCTTTAATTGTCACTGTGTCTTGGAAGTTTGAGTATTTGAAGAATTTCTTTCCTTTTTTTTTTTTTAAATTGAAAAAAGGGCAAAACCTCTCCCACTGCCTCCCGTGGGAACATGCAGAAAACAAAATGCCTGACCCAGCGCCCCCCTTCCCCCCAGGAGTGGGAGTGATGGGGAGAGAATGTGCTGATGCAGCTCGTGAAAAGGAAAACAAAGGCCAGCCGCCCACTGTCCGCAGAATCCAGGCCTTGTCCTGCGGGCCGGCCTGCAGGCTCTGACCAGTGCAGTCCACCTGAGTCTGAGCGCTGCCTCTTCCCCTCCAGTCAGAGTTTACACAATGGAATTGGATTCTACTCTTTTCTTATTTTCTAGTCATATGTACTTTTACACATTCTAGCCCAGAGTATAATTTATAATTTGGATTCATGCATTTAAAAAACTTAACATCATAAATAACCATGTCCTATGTCATTAAGTTATTTGTAAGACTGTTTTTAAAAGTTTGTTCTGTTTATAACATCTTCATAAAAGAAAACTCAAACAATGTGGAAACAACACTGCCTTGAGGTGGTCACTGTGTCCATTTTGGTGAGCCCCTCCAGACCTGTGGTGCGGACAGTCCCTGGGACCTCGTGGTACATAAACGGGGTCATAATATGTGTCCTGTAGAGATTATTTTAACCTAAAATTATATTTTTTACTTTCTGTACATATATGTAGATATATATGATCCTTTTTTTTTTAAATCCTCACCCAAGGATATTTTTGCCATTGATTTCTAGAGACAGTGAAAGGGAGGGAGGAGAGAGAGATGTGAGGGAGGAAGACATTGATTGGTTGCCTCCTGCATGCACCCCTACCTGGGCTGGGGAACCTTGCAACCGAGGT